CCCACCCTTGTCACCGGCAACAGTGCCAATAAACAAGCCATTCCTGGCTCACTTGCAAATGGTTGGCTACTTCCCCAAGGATATTCAGACATGAGTTTGTTCTCCACAGCTCTGCCACCCATTAGTTCCCTGTGTTAACCTCTTCTCTCCAAAGCAGCAGAAAATGTGAAAAAAACAAAACAAAACAAAACAAAACAAAAACCCCAAAACAACAACAATAAAAACTCTGACTCCTAGAGGTAATAGTTCTGACTTGAGAATAGTTTCTAGGAATGGTGATAGGTCAGCACAATCTGACTTTCAAGATAAGACTGCAGCAAAAATGCCTAATACTTCCCTTCCATTGTTTTCTCAACTCTATTTTAGATGCTCAAGTATTCCAGAGGAAATGCAATACACAGACAATTAGGTATGCACTCCTGAGAAGTTTACATCTTTGATTCAAAGGAACTTAAGTACCTTGGACAATTAGCACTACAAGTATGAAAAGTAAAAGGCTATTTATTTGTTGGTAAAGTGGTTCCAAATGGACTAGGTCCTTGAATTTAGTTGCAAATCTTGTTTTACACAGAACTTTTAATTGCAGCCTAACTATGACAAAAGTACCACATATTCTCAATCTACACATGCAATCTCTCCACATTCACCCATGCATGTACCTATAGATGTTCATGCACAAATAATCACAGAGGGTTGATATGGGCCTTTGTTCTGAGGAAGATAAATGATTTCTAGAAGAGTACAGCAAAGCTTGACAAAGCTTAGGCCATTCTAGTGCTACCCTGAAAATGTAGGAAAACCAATCACTCGAATGCCCCAGGTTTAGGTAATTTTGTCTAACGGGCTACCTAGTCTTAAAAGGTATCTTTACAATGTTTTTAGACTTATTTATTTTATGTGTATGTGCATTTTGTTCACAGGTATGAACTGGTACATGGTTGTATGCTGCCATATGGGTGCTGGTCATCAAATCTGGGTCTTTTGAAGAACAGGAAGTGCTCTTAACTGCTGAGCCATCTTTCTAGCACCCGAAAGAAAACTTTTAGAAGGAGAGGTGCTTCAACTATCTCCCTTTCAGTATCTGGGGCTGCCTATATATCTATCCAACTGTTCATTGTTCACTGCATCTATGAGAAAGTGAGCAAAACCCAAGAATTGTATATGGAAGCCTCTAGCATAATACCAGTCTTACAGCAAAATCAAACACTAGTTTCTAGATTCTGGTCCTCCTCCCAGTTCATGACTTCCAGGGTAATTTCTCAGAAAAGTCAGCAATGCTAGCTCACAGAAACTAATGACCAGACTGTATTAAGCTCATAATGTTTACCACATGGGGAAGGTCCAGGAGGGCAACCCTAGGCAGTTCTAGCCAAGACAAGCATGGTAAGTGGGCATTGCCTGCCAGAGGCCTGTGGAGCCAGAGTGTAGGGCTACACCAGGCCCTCCGGCACAGCCAATCACCTAGGAGTGACCTAGTCCACTGGTCTAGGCATGAATAGAAACCTGAGCTTGTAGCTCTGAATTCACCAGTTATTTTGGCTCTGGTTGCTATGTAAATGGAGATAATATCTGGCCCTCAGGAGTGATAATGTAACATATGTGGTACATTTTGGAGCTACATTCACACAAAGTCTAGTCCATAGCATGACTTTGTATTGGCCTAGACCCAAAATGTTCTGAAGATATGTGTGACCAGTAAACAAACTAATTTTAATGGACAAAGTCCACCATCTTCAGTGGACTAACAAGTCAAGTCTACTTACTGCTCCTCTTGAGTTAACAAATGGAAACCTTATACCAGGTTTTAATAGCAGAATATATGCCAAGCCAAGAAAAAGGGAGTATGAAGCATCAGAGTCATGCTTTATCCTTGACGCCCAAATTAAGTGGGCGGGTTTGTCAAGCTTATCATGTGGATTCTGCCTGTAGGATAGAGGGGCAGGTCACTAGCTGAAGGCTCTTAAATCTTTGACGGAAACACAGACCACATCACAGAGAAGCAGAGGCAGAACTTTAGCGAGCACACTTCACTGTGGAACAAAGCTACTGAGGCTTCTCTATTGGTGAGTCATTTGCTTTCTTTTGTTGGGTCTTTCGGATTCCTGCCTGCAGCATGACCTGTGTACATGGTACAAGCTACTGAATTCAGCTACACACGGCTCCCATCTCTCATTGCTATAGTTGCTTTAAGGGTTAGAGAAATATGAAAACTACGTCATTGGTTCTAGAATATGGCAAATGCTTGTAAAAGGATTGGAAAGGTAGTGATGGCGTAACCAGACCCACCCAGGAACATAAACACAGAACACATAATAGAGAAGCAGAGGCAGACCTTTAGGAAACATACTTCACTCTGGAACAAAGCCATTGGGGCTTTTCTACTGGTGAGCTGCTGTTCTATTTTTAAAGCAATAATTTTTCTATGTTGTTATTTTATATCTTCAAAACAAGATATTATCCACAACTGCCATTCACTTTTTTCAGTATCAACACATAACTACAGACACTGTAGACTACAAAATAAATATATAAATAGGAGAAGAAATTAGTAATTTGTAATTCTGCCAGCTAAAGGCCAATGCTGACAGTGTTTGGCCTGTTAAGATTGTAGTCAAAATTATATTACCAAAGGTTCTTAAACAGTCTATAGAATACATGGTTCATGAAGCCCTAGATTATAGGCATGTGGACATTATTTCTCAGGGAAGGTCTACAGCTTTACTGAGATTCTCAAAGAGATTATTGACCACAAAAGGTTAAGAAGCAAGGTGTGGCACCAATCTCATTACTTGGGAAGTGGAAGCAAGAAGATCAGAGGTGCCATCTATTTGTCATAACAACAATAGCCCATGTTTTCAGGGTTTTTTTTTTGCACATTTTTTCCCCCAAATTTATTCTGTTTCCAGCAATTTATTTAAATATATTGAAACTTCTAAAATAATTAAAAGAATTTCTTAAATATTGGGGTTACATTTAGTACTTTAGATATCAGGCTTTTACATTTTATCCCAAGTTTTATTACTTTTTCATTTTCCTAAACCAACATTTTAATTATAAAAAAAAATTAACTTTTTGTATAAGAGGCAGTGATTTTGTATGTGTGTGCATTGTGTGTTTGTGGGTATCTATCTCCTAGTATTGGGTTTACAAGTGTGTACCAGCATGTCTACCTTTTGTAAAAATATGAGTTTTAAGGAATTAACTCAGATCCTCACGATTGCAAAGCAAACACTTTACTGACACCCATCTCCTCAGTCCAGTGATTTTTCAACATTCCATTTATACAGTCTAGTCCTTATCTGCCAACATAATTTGTACATTTTCTGAAGAGTCATGCTGGGGTTGGATCCAGAAAAAATAGGATAACAAAAAGGCAAGCACAAGTCAGGTAACAACAGAGAATTGAACGATACTCTTAGAAAAGCAAAGCTGTTTATTTTATATTTTAAATGATGAAAAGCAAACCTCCCCCATGTGAGTCAATAATATACACACAAATATCTGAGCTTATAGCACCTCGGAAAGCTGTGGAGCAGGATGTCTACTACCAGCCCATCAAGACCTGAGATCTAGCCTTGAGGTCTAGGTGGGGAATATTTACTGAATAGCCTTATCGTAAAGGCAAGGACCTTCCTTGCTGGTGAGAAAAGGCACCATGGCCCTAGGGAAGGTAGAGGCTGCATAAGCATCAAATGGAGACTATTTCCGCTTAGGGCTCAACTTCAGAAATGACCACGTGGATTAAAAGGGGAGGATGTCTTCAACTTTCACAAGCCTTCATCTGACCAGGGGATATTGTGTCTTGGTAAATCTTACAGCAGTTCTACCCAAATACTTGCTCTTTTTAAGACATCTAGAACCCACACTGGAAGGATATGAATCCACACTGGCAAGGTTGGCCTGGCACTCTCAGGTCAAATGCTGTCCCAGTTGCCCCTACAGCCAGGTCACAGGTTACATTACCTTATGTCCTACTTGTGGCCCTTGGTAAAGTCACAGAGTGGAGCAGAGTCAGAAACATGACAGTCAGGGAGGATGAAGTACTGGGCAAGAAAGGCATGCATGTTGCCTTTGCTATAAACTGATTTAGCAGCCACCCTACCTCATACACTATTCTAACTGGCCTTCCATTTGTGAAGAGACCCTTAGGCCCTAAACGGCTAATTAAGAAAGTTAAGGCCCTGCCTCCTCATTGGGCCATATACCTTCCTAGAGACTCCTTAAAAAAACAAAAACAAAAACAAAACCAAAAACAACAACAACAAAAACCAAACCCAAATCTCCAGGATCTGAAGCTACAGCATAGATGTCATAAACTGTTAGAGACAGTTTAGGGAGTCAGCATACCCCCTTAATTCCCTGGTAACAAAGCCAACTCTGTCAAAAGTTCTGGGCACCAGGAGGTTTTCTTTCCCTTTACACTCCACAGCTGAGAAAGAGTAAATAGGAAACACTCCTCAGTCAGGCATAGTCCTTACCATCTCCTAAGCCCCTGAAGATACCATTAAGGAAGCATCCTAGAAGGGACATTTGTTTTGGCTTTCATGCTTTTAAACCCAAGTGGGGCTATCTCAGTTAGGATTTCTAATGCAAACATCATGACCAAAAGCAACTGGTGGGAAAAGGCGTTATTGCATTACACATGTCCTGATCACCGTTCATCAGAGCAGAAACTGAAGCATAGACCATGGAGGAGTGCTGCTTGTTTACTTGCTTGCATGGTGTCTTTTTTTTTTTTTTTTTTTTAAAACAACTGCACAGTGTTTTATGGCATATGCATAGGGGAAACCTGAGATATTTTAGAATTAAAGAGTTCCCACACTGGCTGAAGTTTCTCCTGGGAAATGTCCATCTTCAGCACACTGCTATTATTGAGCATGATAATGGGTAGGGTTAGAGATGTCAATTAATAAGGACAGTGGGAATAAGGAAAGTCACTCAGACAGACCCAAATATAACTCTTGGGTTTTGACTCACAGGTGTTTTCCGCAACAGACGCCATGGATGATGAGTACAACGATACAGATCTCTTGCTCATCAACAATTCTAGTGATAACAGCTGGGACCACAAACGCTTCCTAAAGTTCAAGGAGGTCTTTTTGCCCTGCATGTACCTGGTGGTGTTTGTCTTTGGACTGCTAGGGAACTCCCTTGTTCTGATTATATACATTTTCTACCAGAAGCTGAGGAGTCTGACAGATGTGTTCCTGGTGAACTTGCCCTTGGCTGACCTGGTGTTTGTCTGTACTCTACCCTTCTGGGCCTATGCAGGTACCTATGAGTGGGTCTTCGGCACGGTCATGTGCAAAACTCTTCTAGGCATGTATACAGTGAACTTCTATGTGTCCATGCTCACTCTCACCTGCATCACGGTGGATCGTTTCATTGTAGTGGTCCAGGCTACCAAGGTCTTCAACCAGCAGACTAAATTGAAGATCTGGGGCCAGGTCACTTGCTTACTCATTTGGGTGAGCTCCCTTTTGGTTTCTTTGCCACATATCATCTATGGCAATGTTGAAAGTTTTGACAAGCTTATCTGTCAGTACCACAATGAGGCAATATCCACTGTGGTTCTTGCCACGCAGATGGCTCTAGGGTTCTTCCTGCCATTGCTCACTATGATTGTGTGCTACTCAGGCATTATCAAGACCTTGCTTCATGCTCGAAGCTTCCAGAAGCACAAATCTCTAAAGATCATCTTCCTTGTCGTGGCCGTTTTTCTGCTGACTCAAACACCCTTCAACCTCGCCATATTAATCCAAAGCACAAGTTGGGAGTACTATACCATGACCAGCTTTCAGTATGCTATCCTAGTGACAGAGGGCATAGCATACCTTCGGGCTTGCCTTAACCCTGTACTTTATGCCTTTGTTGGCTTAAAGTTTCGGAAGAACTTCTGGAAACTTGTGAAAGATGTTGGCTGTCTCCCTTACCTGGGAGTCTCAAGTCAGGGGAAGTCTTCTGAGGATAGTTCCAAGACTTGTTCTGCCTCCCACAATGTAGAGACCACCAGCATGTTCCAATTGTAGTATGCCTGGCCATACTTGAAGAGGCTAGTGTCAGAATTCTCAGGAGCATGGCTATGTTCTTCAGATGCAACAAGAAAAGCTCTGCTTATAGCATGTAGACTCTCATGGTGACATCACTGAAAACTGTGGCTGTTATACTTCTCGGATATAAACATACCTTGTTCTTAATATCTGAGCCTAATGCTCAAAGAAGAATGAATTGAGATTTTTAAGCACTTTCTCTCTTCCATCCCCAAGAATGCTGAAGCCAAGATTATGACAGTTAACTCTAGAGATCTCAGATTCTCTTTTACCAAGTTTGGAGCTAAAAGTTGAAGAGAAGCTACACCAGAAAAGTTGTTGATGGCATGTGACATACAGGGCTCCTGAGTTCAGAAGAGACAATGGGCAAGCAGTGGAAAGTTGAGAACTACCACCACAAGTACTGGTCCATGTAACTCAGATCTGTCTGTCATCAGGTACCTAACAGGATAAGACCAAGCTCTGATTCATCCAGGGGTCTGACTTTTGTATTGGTGATGCTTATGTTTTCTTGGATTAGTCTTGGAAAGAGCAGCATAAGGACTGAAAATAGGTCAAAATAAGTAAGCTGAATTTCAGTGGCCCACATAATGCTAGAAAAATGTATAAAACAGAAATTAAGAATATAACAAATCTAAGCAGCATTATTAGAGTGGACTCTAGTGGCTTTGCTCTCAAAAAAAAAAAAAAAAAGAAAGAAAGAAACTTTCCAATGCCTGCAACAGATAGTATGTACACACAAACATCAAATATTTTGAGTTTCATGGCTAAGAAATAAAACCTTTTAAAAGTTTTCAAACTGCTTTCATCTTTAGGTACGTTCTACTTTAATTTGGTATGCCTGAGACACACACACACACACAACCTCACAAACTGCACAAAAACAATGCAGTTAACTTCTAGGCCTAGAACAAAGGAGATAAGTTAAAACTAAACTTTAGGGCCAGTGGTCAATGAAAGAAATGAACTATAGCAATGGAAACAATCTTGCTTTCATGGTGGTTTCCTGCTCTTGCCTAAGTGTGGGGTACATTTGTTCAACCTCTGTAATACTGCTCCGGGATGAGGTAAACTGTACATGCCAGACTGACTGATGCTGACTAGATCCTGGCAATCAGATGACTAGGATGATGGGTGCTGTAGCACTAAATCATTCATAAATAAGAGTATCTCCCTAAAAAGGCTGACATAGGAGGGAAACTAACCCTGGGCTTAAGTCTGGAGAGAGCAGCCCAGGGTGCCTCCCTGTCCTTTACCAGGTAAAACCTGCAGCAACTCAATCTCCACCTCTCTCAATGTGCTTGCACCCATGCTCTAGCTCCCCAACTCCACTCCTTCCTCTCTTCTCCTTCCCTCCTTCCTTGCTATACAGCCATGGCCAGTCTGGAACTTGCTATGTAGACCAGCCTAGCCTTGAACTTACAGAGATCCACTTGCTCATGAATTTCAAGTGCTGGGTTAAAGACATGTCAGTACACCTGACCTGAACAAATCTCTTAACCTTTGGCCATTTATTTTTAGTGAGAAAGCACAAGTCTCTCAGTTGATTTGAGGAGCACTTCAGATAACACATATAAAACACCTAACACTGGCTGGGGAGGTAGCTCAGTTGGTAGGTGCTTGCCTAACATGCATGGAGTCCCAGGTTTGAACCCCAGAACGAGGTTTAACACACCTATAATCTCAGTGTTAGGGAGGTGAAGGAAGGAGGATTAAAACTTTAAGGTTATTCTCAGATAGACAAAGTTTGAGGCCAACTGGCTAAATAAGACCCTGTCTCATGGGGGGATGCAAAGTGAGTAAAGTGTAATTAAAAAAACAAAGAAATTAAAAATAAAGTATACTAATTAAAAAAAAAAAGACCCTGTCTCAAAACAAATCAAATAAAAAACACCACATAATATAATCTAATTTGTGGGTGAAAGCTCTCCAAACTGACAAAAGTTATTTCTTAGAAGATATAGTACAGGTTTCTTATGATATTCCTAAGGATAGGTTACTATCTCTCCTGTACCTACATCATCATTAGCAACAAACACACACAAAACAAAACAACCAAAGCTCCCCACCCCTGGCATGTGTTAGTTAAAGAGGGCTTGTGTCTGGCCTGCAGGCTACCTGCACCATAGCTCAAGAAAGGCTGTTGCTGCAGGCTCCTTTCCCTCAGAGGTGTTAGAGGTCTCAAGCACTCAGCCCTCTTTTTGCCCCACCTTTGGCTCTCCTTCTTGCTCATAGCAGCAAATCATATCAAAGGCCAGAGTGCTATGTGAAATGGGGGTTAGAGCTGGATGAAAATGGACCCTGCTTGAATCAAGACTGTCCAAATGTGTTTCACAGCCTGAGAACAAAGACTATGTGCTCCATCCCACTGGGCTCCTCATTACTGAAGATTGTGGAAGTGCTTATGGACTCTGGCTCCAGTTAGATATATAAATAGTTATGTTTTCAGAGAGGCGAATGCATGGTGACTCCCTTTGAGGGGTCATCTGATTACCCAGGAATTCCTGGTGTTTGGATGAGGAGATGGTACCACAAGAAGGCAGAAAAAGTAGCACAGAATTCAGAAGCTAGTCATCCTATCTTCCATGGGGCTTTCAAAGTAGCACTTGGCCAGGTACCCAGTTCTTTAGACCCACAGTTATTAGTGCTGTTTTGTAGGCAGCTTAGTACTGGCAGCCCCACTTCAGAGGAGAACTAAGTGAGGGCTGATCCTTGTTAGCAGCCTTTCTGCCCATAAGCACTGGCCGCAGGGCTTTCAGGTTGGTGTCATACCACACCTAGGGCCTGCCAACTCCAGACTCCTCTGTAGTCAGAGGGCCTGCATTAGTACAGACATATGGTGGCTTTTGAACTTTAACCATAATTACCATATCCTGTCCTTGTTTCATTTCTGAGATAGCAGGCACCGAATCTCTAGGCTGGTGACCACAGTTCTTCCGCTAAGCACTCTGGCTGCAAAGCCTTGGTTCTGAAATGATTGCCAAGCAGGCTCTGAGGGCAGGTTTCAGATCATTTAGTGTAATCTGGGTACCTGAAGGTGGCTTTTTTTTTTTTTAAGATGATGAGACTACAAGTTAGAGATACTAAGAAGCATGTGCACATACTAGACGTGCACAGCCCAGGCCAACATCAAAACTCAGCGTAAACATCAGGAAAATCATGTATCTCCACAGGAGGTTTCTGGCCCAGGCACTGTCTTCGGTCTCCTTTCTTACAATAGGGTAGACGGTATGTATTCTAGGCTCCCCTATACAGTTAAAGGAGCTGCATTCAGAGGCTGCACTGCCATGGACATAGGGTTTAGAGGCTTCTTTGGGTCTGAAGCTTAAACTCTTCGCCCCTAATGGCCTGTATATCTGGTACCTGGAGAGTACACCAGGTCTTGGAGGCTTTGGCTGTGTATGAGCTGGGCAGAGGCCAAGTGAGCCAACTACCTATCATCTCAGTTCTGAGAACAGCTGGAAATCTGAGTAGTGGTATCTAAGACACTAAGGAAGAGGCTACAGGCATGTCTGAAAGGCTGTACAGGGCCTCTTTCTGCTACTGGTAAGGGCTGTGCTCCTGCTAAGTGTCACCATTCAAGATAAGCCAGGAATGAGTGAAGGGCAGTTGTCACCAGATCCTGTCAGGGTTTCCTGTGAGGATGAAGCTGGATTTGGAGACTTTCCCTTATTCAGTCATTTCTAGGAAGGGTCAAAGCTTATTTCTCATGCATTACTTTGTTCCTCAGATTGCTTATCTTTCCTTCAAAGTTTCCTGTGGGGGATGGTGGTATAAGCCTAGGGCTCTCCTTCTCATACTTTCTCAGACTCTTGATGTCTTTGGATGAGTTTTCAACATGGGAAGAAAAGGAATGCTAAAGAAAAGCTCCCATACATGCTAACACACAATATATTGTGTAGAAAGGTGTCTCTTCATTCACATATGTGAGATACAAGGACTACAGATTCCTATAAGGTAATCTCAGATTTTCGTTGGTGGCTGCAGGCCAGCATGATGGCAGCTTCCTTTCTCTGAAACAGTTCCTGATTTCCCAAGACCAAAAACTATACATACTGGTCAGCAGTCTGGAAGATTTCTGTTTCTGTTCCTACTAGGAAACAGGAAGGTGGGAGATGAGGGAGGAAGTGGGAGAAGTCATCTTATACAGGTTTCAGGTGTCTTCGAGAAGACAGTAAAATCAATGTCATCCTCTGGGCTCCTAGCTCTTGGTCTACCCACCCATCTCTATCCATGAAGCTTGGCAGGCACCAAAAGCAGGTGTAGTTTACTGCTAAGGGAAGAGAAGAAATGCTGGGGACCCCTGGGTTCTGAGGGTCAAGGTGAACATTGGTGACTACTGACCAATATGTATCAGAGAAGTGTTTCATGAAGGAGGAAACTGGTCCAAAAATCACAAAAGCAACAGAAGAGGAGCCATCTTAGGTTTGGCAATGAGAACTCTGATTTTAAATTATTTAATTTAATTTAAATAAATTTAATTTAATCTATTAGATTTATTTAAATTAAATTATACCTATGGCTTTAATTAAAATAGTTCTGATTTTAACTACAAAAGGCTTTAAGGAGGTGATTAAATTAAAAATCTACCAGTGTCCTGGTATGAAATAGTGATTAAAGGACACAGGCACCTAAAGTATACAGGATGCTGCAAGAAGGTGGCCATCTGCAAACCAAAGAAGAAGAAACCATCTCTGTCAGTACTTTGATATGCAGCCTCCAGAATGATGATAAATTGCATTTCCATGGGTAAGTCACACAACTATGGTCTCTTGCTGTGTGTGAGCTGACTATACAGCTGCCCAAGCCTAAGAGAAGATTCTGAATCAGGCATCACACACACCTCCCAGGAACTTTCTTATACATAATCTCCCTGACTGTTTCTTGATTATGCTCTCTTTTCAATTGCTATCCCACTCTGAACTGCCTCTGTTCTGAGACATCTTCCCTTGGCAGAGATAGCCAATCCTGCTTCTAGT